GGGGAGCGGGGAGATGGGGGACAGAGCACCCGGCGGGGGGGCAGGAATCTAAGGAGGCAGAGCGCTCAGCTGGGGGGCAGGGAGCTAAGGGAGCAGAGAGCCCAGCAGGGGGGCAGGGAGCTAAGGGGCAGAGCGCCCAGCGCGGGGAGAGAAGGTGGAGAGTGCCAGATGGGGACACTGTGTAAAAGTACCTGCTCTATGCCCAGGGACAAGAGGCTCTGGCAGGGATGGGACAGGGGAGCATTATGTGGGTGGGGGCCTCCAAGGGACCCATTCGGGGGGCGCAGAAGAAGAGGGCACGTGCCTGGGCACAGGCAGAATGCACCAGGCCCATCTCCCACCCCCCAGAGTGCAGCTGTGGGGTGGGGGAAAGGTCTGTCCAGGGGCCCTGGTGGTGTACGTGGCCTGGTGCACGTGTGCCGGGGGGAGGGCTGCCCACACTGGTGTGGGACTCACTGAGTTTCAACAACCACAACACACGGTGGCGGGTTTCCACTGCCTTTTTTTACAAACGATTCTGAGCATGTACACGCGGCATGGCCCAAGCCCCCCTCCATGGGGGATCCCACACTTCAGCCAGTGCCCTCCCCCGTTCCATGGGGAGCCCTGCACCCCGCATTCCATGGACAGCCCAGCGCCCCCCATTCCATGGAGAGCCCTGCACCCCCCAATTCCATGGAGAGCCCAGCGCCCCCATTCCATGGACAGCCCTGCACCCCCCAATTCCATGGAGAGCCCAGCGCCCCCATTCCATGGACAGCCCTGCACCCCCCAATTCCATGGAGAGCCCAGCGCCCCCATTCCATGGACAGCCCTGCACCCCCCAATTCCATGGAGAGCCCAGCGCCCCCATTCCATGGACAGCCCTGCACCCCCCAATTCCATGGAGAGCCCAGCGCCCCCATTCCATGGACAGCCCTGCACCCCCCAATTCCATGGAGAGCCCAGCGCCCCCCATTCCATGGAGAGCCCAGCACCCCCCAATTCCATGGAGAGCCCAGCGCCCCCCATTCCATGGAGAGCCCAGCACCCCCCAATTCCATGGAGAGCCCAGCGCCCCCCATTCCATGGAGAGCCCAGCACCCCCCAATTCCATGGAGAGCCCCACCTCCTGCTCAGCTGTGAAGCTGGAAGCCTGAAGGGGAGTGGGAGCCCCAGTCCCTGCCCAGTGCCCCCCCATAGCATGGCCTCAGTGCCCCATTACCCATCACTTCCCACCAGTGCTGTTGCTCCATCGTTACCAACTGCTGCATCATTTCCTCCACATACACTGCGGGGAGGAGGGGCAGTGGTGTGGGACGGGGTGGGGAGTGCCTGGGGGGGGATGGGAGCAGCCCCAGCAGGCGGGACTAGGGATAAGGGATTTGAGGGGAGAGTTCCCCACAGTTTGTGTTCCCACTCAACCATGGGGCAGTGCCAGACCAGCACCAAGACCACAGAGACCTCCCCCCGACACACAGCA